GGCTGTCTCTTTCAGAGATAACCGTGTGCCTGGTCCTCATTAAAACTCGTACAACTTATTAGTCCCCTAGTTGTTCTAAATCCTTATCAGAACAAGAGAGGAATACACGGAGCAAGAGAAATCAAAATAGACATCTCCAGAAGGAATCAGCAAACGACACAGCTGCGCAGGCGTGCTGCTCCCAGGCCCGTGTGCTCTCTCCTATCATTTTATTAGATTTACAGCACTAACACTTTCAACTGAAATCTTTGAGAGAAAAGGAAACTGTTTAGCTGCATGATACAAAACCAGAGCACAAAAACGTTAATCTATTACCAAAATGCTCAAAGCAGGAAGGTATGAACTAGCTTATGGTTCATTAAGGAAGTAAACTCCACTCTGTAGTGTTGGCTAACGACACCAAGAGAACACTGAACCTGGCCAAGCGCCCTTCATGGCTCTCTCCCCACTCCACAGCCAGCCTCTCCTAGTCACCCTGGCCACTCCATGCTTCTCACTTTCTCTCATCTTGCCCATCTCTTCAGAGCATCTCTGGGTGCCCCGCTATTGTATCTTAGACTCCAGTCTCTAGTTTACCCTCTGTGGTAGGTTTTGTGCTCAGAATCAACTCCAGCAGAGCCACCCACCCAGTCAGCTCTGCAGGAAGCATCGTTCAGGACAGTGGTGCCTTTTAAAAAGAATCTACTCCAGCTCATGCTTTTAATCCCAGCACTCGGGAGGCAGAGGCAGGCAGACCTTTCTGAGTTTGAGGCCAGCCTGGTCTACAAGAGTTAGTTCCAGGACAGACTCCAAAGTTACAGAGAAACCCTGTCTTAAAAAAAACAAACAAACAAAAAAAACAAAACAAAAACACCCCAAAACCCACTCATCCACTCAGCATTTGGAACAGGCAGAAAGCTTGGGCACTCATAACCTAATGCCTGGTATACATTCTTGCACGATCTCTCCTCCTGCAGGGCTGGAGACAGAGCCCAGTCCCTGCGTACACAAGGCACTTCCTCTACCATTGAGCCACGTCCCCAGCACCGATGTTCAGTGATACAACAGATGAGCAACTTAGCACGAAGGCCATCTATACACACATTTAGTTTTTGGTCTTTCGAAACAAGGTCTCATGTGGCCCCGGGTAGCCTCAAACTCACTATAGAGACAACACGAATAGAGGGACCACGAACTCCTGGCCTACCCTCCAAATGCTGAGATTACAGGCGTCCTTCACCATGCCGTGCGGATGTCTTCAGAAGCTAGTAATACTAACTGATATCCATTTATGCTCAGCACTTCACACACATCCTGCCCACATGGCGATGTGTACAGCACACGTCACCCTAGCTCACAGCAAGTGCTCAGCACTTGTTCTTATCATCGGTTAGTTACTTTATTTATTTGAGACTGCCCTATGTAGGACAGGCTGGCCTGTTTCTGCCCTGGCGTGCTGGAGCCACCATCCCCAGCTGTCAGCTGCATCCTCGTGTCAAAGCAAACAGGAGTGGCATGTAGGACCGTTCAGCAGGTGAAGGAGCTTGAGGCCGAGTCTCATGACCTGAGTTCTCCCACGATGAAAAGGCAGAACTGGCACCCAGAAGTTGTCCTCAGACCTCACACTGTGCTCCATACAATAACAGCACACACAATTAGAAGGAAAAGACAATGGGCAGGAAGGCTGGACAGGGCAACAGCACTCCCCACAGAAAGGGCACCGGAACACAAGGCAGCCACTCAGACGGCCACACTTCCCAGGCTCCTGGGGCTTCAGAGGCTATCAAGGACAGCGCTGTCATCTCCACTGCTAAGCACTTGCAGGTTAGGGGTAGGCAGAATGGGCAACAGGAAGAATTCTGGTTGTGGACAGCCAGGTCTGACCCTATGTCAAACCTTTGCCCAGTCACTACCATGCATGTGGAGAAACTCAAGAGTCAACCCAGAAATGGCTCAATGGTTAAGCGCACTTGCTGTTCTTGCAGGACCAGGGTTCAGTTTCCAGCACCTCACAATGGCTCACAACTGCCTACAACAATGCATGTGCTGAACATACATGTACTCAAGCGTGACACCTATACAAATCTAAAAAAGAAATTCCACAAAAAGCTTAAGGATCAATCAATTTAATGGTAATTTGCTGTCAAGAAATCCATTCTCCAGTTTGGAAAAACCATCCCAGAAATCAGACGGGTTCAATTTTAGTTCTGATCGTGCATCTAACACAAGAGACTACAGAGCCGGCCTGGCGTCGATGGGCTCGACTACTGGGGGTCACCACTCTACCACCAGAAGCCCTGCAACAGCGAAGAAAGGGCCTCCCTCGCTCGGGCCATGGGCTTGGTTTATAGCAGGAGCTGGTAGTCCTGGGTAGCCAGCGACCTCCTGCCGCAGAAACCCAGAGAAAGGAGATTCTTAGGGAATTTTTGGCATTTCCTTCTTACTTCAGTTCTTTAATTCTCTTATTCATCTAATTTTTACTTCACTCTTTTTGAAACATGGTCTCAAGTAGCTCAGGCTGGTCTCTGTGTAGCCGAGGATGGCCTTGAGCACCAAACTTCCTGCTTCTGCTCCCAAGTGCCACCATGCTCAGTTTGAGCAGTGACTGCAGCACCTGGTGGAGAATGTGGTTTCACGCCAGTTAGACAAACACTACCGACTGAGATTCAGTCCAGCTCAGTGCTTCTAAGCTGTAAACGGAAAGCCCAGGTTCTGCAGCTTTGCTCCTACCTGTGACTTCTAGGTAGACGACTGAACTTGCTAGCTAGACGCTGAGCATTCTAGCTGGAGTGCCCTCCTATGGCACACTCTACTAAAGTCAGAGCCGACAGCACACAGAGCCAAGCTTAGACACGCTTCTAACACATATGCACACATACACAACTCAAGATTCCTTCTGTTTTGTTCTCCAGCTCAGGTCTGAAAAAATAAACAAAAACCTTCTAGTAAACACTAATGTCATCACCTCTAAAGCCTCCATTCTAGTAGAACCCTGAGCCACAAAGTTCAGCACGCAGAAATGACGGCTCTCAACACTGAATGTGTTGTTTGACGAGGAGGACTTCATCTACGGCTATAAACGAAGGGAGTGCCTGCACTCACTGGCAGAAGTAAGAAGTCCTTTAAAAGAGGTATTTCTTTGGCTTGTATCCCAGTTCAGTAGCAATGAAAGGCCCTAAAATCCTAGGGGTTAAATGTCCTTCTGAACACCGAAGGCTCCCTAGGTTCAGAAGTTCTGGCATGCAGATAAACGGTGGCTCAACCACTAACAACTCAGTCTACTTAGGAGTGTGAGGGTTTAAAACAAAACAAAACCGGGTCCTGAAAAAACTGGATTCTCTTACCATTTTGCTTCCTCAAGAACCAGGGTATAGTATACATTGTGGCTCTTGCCTTTAATCCTAGCACCTGGGAGGCAAAGGCAGGTGGATTTCTGCGAGTTCAAGGCCAGCCTGCCTCAAAAAAAAAAAAACAAAATGTAACAAGCCAGGGTAAAAGTTAGTTTCATTTAATTGCTAAGTGTTAAAGAAACAATTTGTTTAAAGTCTGAGGGCAGTTCAGCTATAAATCCAGGCCACAGAAAGTCCCTGTGTTTCTGCGGGAAACAGTGGTTGGTACAGCTGAGAAATGTATACTCTGGGTAACCAAGAGCATAGTATTAGAACAAAGAGCTTTGTAGTATGTGGGCTGGTAAACTGAGGCAGCAGCACAGTTCAAGAGCTAGGTTCTGGAGTTCTAATGTCCAGGGATGAATTACACCTGACAGTTCCTTCGATTTTAAATAATTATAAATCGAGTTTCAGGAAAGCCAGGGTTACACAAAGAAACCTCGTCTAGAAAAAAAATAAGTTAATAAATAAAATAATGGATTATTATGAGGGCAGCTATGACAATTTCTAGTTTTTTTTTTTTGTTGTTGTTGTTTTGTATTTCGAGACACGGTTTCTCTGCGAAGCTTTGGTGCCTGTCCTGGAACTCTCACTGTAGACCAGGCTGGCCTCGAACTCACAGAGATCCACCGCCCTGAGCATTTAGAGTTCTTTCAGCAGGTGGCCGTGCTCAAAACAAGCACTTTAACAGACGCTGGTTATTAGCAAGCAAACTAGCTTTGCTGAGGACAGTCCAGTTCGGTTACACTTGATCACTACCAGGAAATTTGAAGGATAGGATTGTCCGGCAGAGATGGACCCAACTAACCACTAACGCACCCTGACCTTGGAAGCTTTTCCGGAAACCCTTCCCGACAGAACTCAACTGCCGACTAGCAAAGCAAATGGGAACCTGCGAGAATTGTACATGTGGCAGACAGTGCGGGCCTCTCGGGTTACTTTTTATTCTCGAGGAGACAGCGTGAACACACTTGACCTGGATGCTGAAGCCCCAACGCCGTTGCATCTCAGGCCTAGCACTTCTTGCTCATCCTCGGCCCCTTGAGCCGAGGCTGGGGAAGTCCTGCTGTCTAATTTCTGGGCGGCGGCTCAAAGGGTCGATGGAGGGCACGGAACGCTAGCGTCTGAGGCTAGATCCAACTTCGGTGGCACCAGAGAGTTAGGGGTCCGGCTGAGTTCCAAGGAGGCTCCCAGGTGGCCTTGACCTTGGTGTCCCGGGACTCAGTTTGCCCGCCTGCTGGCTCAGGCCGCTGACCCTAACCCCCCGTCTAGGGCAGGTGCGTGTAGAGTGAGCTTGGGCCTGGGTCACGGGGGCCTGGGAACCCGAAGGCAGCAGCTGCCCCGGGACCCTCGTCCTCCCTCCGGCAAGTGCGTGGGCTCGGCCGGGACACGTTGCACGCCACACACGGGTTGGGGAGAGCTGGGCAGATGCTGGACCCGCGCCAGGGCGCGAGGGTCGCGGCGCTCCGAGCAGCCCGACGGCTGGCGGGCGCACACGGCGGCGGGGTCACGCGGCCTCCGCGCCGGGCCGCTGCCACCCCAGGACGGCTGCGGGGCCACAGCCGCCCGCCCGACCCTCCAGACCCATCGGGCCGGGCGTCAGCCCCGCCGACGCCGCGCCGTGGGCCTCACCTCCCTGCGCACGTTCAGCAGTGAGTAATAGTCTTCATTGTCCAGCTCCTCCTCGCTCAAGGCCGTCGCCATCTTCACAACCTTTCACCCCGCCAAACCGGCGAAGCCGCACTCAAGAGGGTCCGGCGCTGCGCGGCGCTCCCTGAAAAGCTCCCGCTCTTCCCACAGCGGCCCCTGGCGACTCGGAGGCCGCATGGCAGGCCGCGGGACCGCGCCTGCGCAGTACACCACCGTGCGACCGAGGCCAGAAACTAGCAGGCGGCGCGTGGGGATAGTAGGGCGGGCTTGCGTGTTTGAGCCTTTGCACGTGTGTGTGTGTAGTGGGGTGGCACTGACATTGCATGTCCATCTGAATCAGTGCAAGTGTGTGTGTGTTGGGTGCCTACCCGGGTGGCACTGAGCCTTTCCCTGGACTGTCAAGGGAGACTGTGAAAGCCCCATTCTTGAGGCTTTAACTCCCCTGCCGCCGCCTCCCCCGGTTCTGGGTGGCCCTGAACCGGGGCTGCCTCGAGTTCCTCCCCTGGTTTGGTGTTTGTTGCAAGGCCACCTAGAGCCCAGGCTTTCGTCTCACCAGGCCCACCCCCATGGGGAGCTGCTTGTGGACGCACTTGCATACTTAATGCTCAAGAAACCTCCGAAGTGATTGTCTACACCATTCTTAGTCCACGGGAGCCTTCCTTCCTGTTCAGAGAACGGGTCACTTCCTTAGCTTAGGTTTTTGGGTTTTGGGTTGGTTTTTTTTTTTTTTTTTTTTTTTTTTTTTTTTTT